TGCAAGCAACATTCTCAGAATACAATGCCATAATACCAGAAATTAAGAGCAAAAAAAAAAATCTTTCTCCTGGAAGTTAAAAACACGTATTTTAAAAATATTTATTTGGCCAGGGTGAAATATGAATGAAAATTGCAAATATTCCATAAAATAAGATTATTGAAAGACATATTTCAGAATCATCATCTGCATAACTAAAGATGTGATTTAAAGAAACATCAAAAATGTCTATATTAATAAGGACAAAGAGTTACATGAATTAGTTTAAACATGCGATTTAAAAAATAAAGTACAATGCAAATAGAAAAAGTACAAAATATGAGTTAGAACACAGAATAACAATTACATTTTTAAAGTAATTCTTTAGAGAAAAAAATCAGCAAAATAGACCACCACTAACTAACCTAGTCAATAAAAAAAAGGAAGAAATGTTAAAAGACATAAAAATATAACCAAAGGAAAGTAGTAGAAATTTTTTTAATCACAACTTTTAAATCAAGCAACTTTGGGCAGAAAATGCTGATAATGAGTACTTTTCTGGGAAAAAAACTGTCAAAAATGATTCATATAGACAGATAATTAAAATATATAATTTTCCATTAACAATGGAAAAATTGCCAATGAGCTGCTACTAAGAAAAGCCACAGACCCAGATGACTTTGCAAATTCAAGACCTGACAATCCCAAGGTTACAGACTGTTTCTCAGCATAGAAGATGAAAGAAAACTTCCATACCCCTATGTTGAAAATAATAAAACATTAATTTAAAAGCTGATTTCCACTGCCCACTAAAGAGTCCCTCACTTCTAACTACTAAGCCAAAAATACTAAACAAAACGGCACTTGAATATTAAGAATAATGCTAAGTAAGGTTTATTGCAGGAATGGAAGAATCACATAATATCAGAAAATTCATTTGTATAATTAATCAATCACATTAATAGATCTAAGATGAAATTACATGTTCTCCATAGATGCCAAGAAATCATTGGGCAAAATTCTACACTTAATTTTATTTTTCTTAAAAAATCAAGAAGATAGATCTGGGTCTGGTGGCTCATACCTGCAATCCTAGCTTCTTGGGGAACTGAGCTTGGGAGTATCATGGTTCAAGGAAAACTGGGGCAAATAACTCATGAGACCCCATCTCCAAAATAACTGGAGCAAAATGGTCTGCTGGGGTTGCTCAACCGATAGAGCACCTGCTTCACAACAAAAAAGCAAAACTCAAGGAAATAAGAGCAGCTATTTCCTTTAAAAGATAATATATGTGTATATTTATAATGGGGAATCATTAGTCAATTAAATCAAGAAAAGGACAAAGAAACCTTTTGTCACTAATGAACTTTGTAATTCAAAGCAAATCAAAGAACTTAGCAGAAATAAGAAGAGGGATAAGAATTATAAAGAAAGAATCTCAACTGTCTATGTTAAGGACATATGAAAACTTTAAAAGCTAAGAGAATACACAAAATAATTCACAAGAGAATATGAGAATTCAGAATACAGAAAAGGCAGAAGATCTAACCAAACTACAGCAATAAAGAACCATGTCAACACATCCGTGCTAAAATCAGACAGATCCAAGCAGGCTGAAACATAAGTAATGATACAGAAGACTTGAATAAGTCAATATAAGTGGGGGAAAGTCACATTGAATGTAGGAAATATAGCAAGCTCAGTGCCTGGACAACAATATATATCCTTAATCATAATATATTAATGAATAATTTTAAATGATGCTAAGTTTAGAAGATGAAAACAAAAACAAAATTTAAAAGGAAAGTGAAAATAAAAGCTTAAAGTCAAAAAATGTAACATTAAAAATATTTTCAAATGAGCAAATAAAATGATCTTGAACAGAGAAACAAATAACCTAACAAATCAGGTTTTTTAAAAAGTAAGTAAATCTGTGCTCCCCCCAAAAAATCATTATTTTTGAATGGCATAAATAATATTTAAAGATTAAATTATGTCAGGGGTGTGTTTCAGAATACTTCACAGTATGATCACTGAAGCATAATAAAGGATACATGGGAATTTACTCATTTTTCTCAAAATTACAAATTTCCCTTGAAACTATAATTCTACTTTCTTGTCCTTTATTGTTATTTGTTTGTTGAAACAGAAACTGTCAGATGAATATGATCAAAGTACATTTTCTACATGTATAAAAATGTCACAATGAAGCCCTTTCATACAATTAGTAGCACTAATCCACAGAAACTGTGTACTGACATGTCTGCTCCTCTCAACCCTTCACTGAAAACATTACGGTCAAAATCACCAAAAACACTGTAACTGAAAAATTCATTGACCTGCATTCACTTTCCATTTAATTTGATTTTTTTGCTGAATTAGAAAATATTGCTCAATCCACCCCCAAACCTGTAGTTTCTCAAACCACAAAAGAGGAATTCAAAGATTCCCAACACAAAGAAATGAGATGGAAATGCTAATTGCCCCATTTAGCTTTGCACATTGGACTCATATCATATTATTATGTTCCCCTTAAATATGCACAATTATGTGTCAATTAAAATTTTCAAAACAGAAAACAGAATTTTAAAAACTGTAGCTTCTTTTGAATTCCTCAGCAAACTTATCTCTGTCCATTTCTTATTTTCACCTTTTTTCATAAATGCTGATATTACCATATGGTAATAGGCACAGCTCACTTTACTAATAATAGCCATTCCTAGGTAGATAGTCTCCTGATCAGTCATCAAGTTCCAGAACTAAATTCTTTTTGTTGATTTATGTCCTATAGGCACCTTAAACTTAATCAGAACCAGTACTCACTACTTCCTCCTGTAACTTTCAATAATCTTCCCACGATCACTTCCTTGACTACTCTCCTCCCTAGCTACAAAATTGATTGCTACTTTGACCTGTATCTCACTCTGTCATCCCTTACATCCTATCTCTTTCTCTAATTTGGCTATGTCTTTGAATTTTTACTGTCATTATGTATAAAAATGTAAAAGAGATACAAATCTTTCAACCCAGCAATCTACTCCTAAGGGTCTAGGGCTCAGAAATAAAATCATCAATATGAAAGAACATAATTACGAGTTGCCTGTCCACTCTCTTTGTCCTTTGCACTACAGGATGCCTCCAGGGTTAGAGAACAAAGCAGTGGAGAATTGATTCCGTGGCAGTTGGCAACCTCAGTGGTAAACTGGCCTTGACACAGGAATAGTGAAAGCTGTTCCCACAGCTGCCAGAAGTATTGACCCCCAGGCTTGCAGTTCCTGGCACAGGAGGGAAATGCCACCGCATGGAGAGCCTGCATTCAAAGACAAACTGAAGCTCAATGTAAAAGCTTGGTTCTCTTGCCTCTTATCCAGAAAGAATCTGAAGGACCCCCTCAGATCCAGCCCAATCAATGAGGTTGGCTTAAATTTCTCCTATTGTAACCTACATCTTGGTTCAACTTCTGCTCAAATTTGCTTCCCTTAGACACCTACAGATGTGTTCCCAGGATACAATTCCAATCAACTGCCTTCGTACAAGTCTCTGCCTCAGGGTCTCTTTCCAAAAGAACCCAAATTAACATGAGGGTGATTGCTACCATTTGCCAAAGACTCTTAGAGTGATACATCTCTAAACCCACATTACTTAAAAAAAAAATTCTTATGTAGCAATGTAACAAGAGTAGACACCTAAATATGTTTATAACTACAGTTTTAGCCAATAACTAACCTTACTCACTAGCCTGTTTTTAGTTATGTAAGTTTAAAAAAAAAAAGAAACTTTTTTTATGATTCTACCCTCCCTATTTCTCCATGTGAAGGAACTTAAGAATATCTTTATAGCGTCAGGCAAATTCATCATGCTCCTCTCCTGATCTCACAAAACACAGAAATAATAAAAATAAACAAATAAACACATACCCCTACACCCATCATGATCTCTAAGATTGTGGAGTGGTAGAGCCAAGATTAAACCCAGGATCTTGAGTCCATTTTCTTAACCATAAAGCCCCCATGTAAGATTAAATATATTGTTGAACATTGTTTTTTTAAAAATGACAAAAAGTATCATAATTATCAAAACGTGTGTAGAGAGGTCTGGGAGACAGAATGCCATAGTTGAGGTAATGAAAGAAGCCCATTTTGACACAAAGAAAGTGGCCTTCAACAAGGTCAAAGGCAAAGAGAGGCATTTTAGAGATGGTTTTCCTCTCAATTTAGTAAAAGAGCATTTCAGGGATTTCAGCCCAGTCCCTCTGGCTCTGAATCTAGTATGCTCATGGCTGACTGTCATGAATTCTGAAAAATGTTTTCTCTGCCAAGTTACGAAAGCCATGAAATGGTTGTTTGTTTCTAGGTGACAATAATGTCCATGATGAGCTATTCCAAGAGCTCATTGTACCAGACCAGTTCTCTGGGTTTCAAGGCACTTGTTTATTTCCTGCAGGCCTACCTAAATAAACTTTGGGATTTCAATGCAGACCGGAGTTTCTTCAACATATCCAAAATTTTGAATAGTCATTCTCCTTCCTGGTACTGACTAAATAACTCTTTATCTCAATGATCTTGGAATGCTTCTCCTCTTCATGGACTCCTCCCCCCAGCTAATCCTGGTACCTGTCACTCCAACTCAAATGGAACCTGAACCTTGTGAACTTCTTCTAAGGCCTCTATCCCTGTATCTGACAGTTCTCTACATGAGATATCAGACCTCCCTCAATATCTGATGGCTCTCAGAACTTCTGTACACCTTGGTCCTTCCTCTGCAATAGACCCCAGGGTCAAGGGTCAAACCAACAGATGATTCTGTGGCAGTTTGTAGCCCTGACAACAGGCTGCCCTCAATATAGCAGTGAAGGAAGGAAGTGATCTTCTCTGTCCCATGGCCTACTTCAGTTTCTGCCACTACCAATGCTTCTGCAATCACAAAAAGTCCAGATTTTCCCCTTCTTCCTGTGACTAATCAAATCAGAGAAGAGACATATGAAGTATTGGTGATGGTCTCAGCAGAAATCCCCACTCACAATGGTGAATTTTTCTAACAAAAATATTCAGACCATCAACATACTCTTCTCCTCCTTTGCCTTAATCTTGCTGGTAATAGGCGTCATCATGGATGAATGGGTTGAATTGATCCCCAAAATAAAAAAGAACAAGATTAGTCACAGTCCATGGATGACATGTTGCACTTCTATTTGGCCAGAAGGTCAGAATTGTATTATAGAATGTGACAGGTGGGGAGGAGGGTTTCTTTGTTTCTTAACTTTCATCATCTCACCAGTTTAACTATTATTCTGTAGAGCAAATTCGTCAGGGGGCAGTGTGCCCACTTCCATAAGCAACACAGTCAAGGCAGACTCCAAAATCTCACCATTTGGATGTGTGGGAAAAAAGATTAGAAGCGCATAGACTTAATCACTGAGCATTTGAGAAATCTTGACAGTAGCAGCAGGGTAGTCAGTGCAACTAGAATAAGGGGGATATGAAAAAAAAGTTAGACAAAAAGAAAAATAGGTTGTGTTGGCCCTAGAAGAAGATGGGGTGAATTGAAATATTTATCAACAAATGAATTCTGAGAAAAGAAGAGAAGGAAGCTTATAAGAGATACCAAGATAGAGAACAGTGTCTTCCGATTCTCTCATTCAGCGTAAGGAACCCTGCTTCTTTATTCTTTCTTACCTTCCCTCCTTATTATTTAACCAAATATTTCATCCTGCTCCTATTTTTACCTAGATATGTGTGGGTCCCAGGTGGAAATAAGCCTAGAAGAAATATCTGTCCTTCTCTCAGTACAGCTTCTGCTTTCCAACAGATGACCTGGAAGTGGTCAGGATCATGATGATGTTGATCCTCGGCCTTTCCTTCCACGTTAACTTGATCATGGGTTTGCAATTCACCTGTATACTTCCTCAAAATAAATATATGCACTTCATCATTGCCTTCCTCAGTTTCTTCACAGGTAACTGCCCAGATCCCTTAATGTAGGTATGGAGTTATAGTGGGTTTGTGGGTTGCAGGATGCAGTCTCTGGCTGGTTGACCTTCCCAGGTCTTTGACTCAAGTGTATGTACAGCTCCTAAGTTAGATCTGGCACTAAAGTGGGATCAGTCTTTAGACAAGGTGCAGTCAGACAGGGTGGAGTCTGGGAAGTCAAGTGTACTTGGGTGAAGACTTAAGTGAAGGAGTCAAAGTTCCTGAGAAGGAACTCTTTTCTCCTTTTATCTGAACACCAGGTTTGCTTCTACTTTGTACACTGATAAAATATCACCTTAACCTAATTCAAGGTCAATCCATATACTTCTCGGGCTTCAAGATCACCTGGGTCATTTTGACTGCCTACGCATCCATTGTCTTTTTTATTACCTGTGGTGAGTGCCTCTGGGGCCCTTTAAGGAGTGATGAGAACTGGTCTACCCCGATAGAGGGAAGAGTGAAAGGTATCAAACTTGGCATTTAAAACAGCTAAATATCACCTGGACTTCATTCTCTAAGGCGAGCTCCTACAAGGACAGAGCTGGAAATTAGACTGAGTGCAACATTTGCTATGCTTGTCTCATAAGACAGCTCCTCCTCTCAGCTTTTCTTCAGTCTTTCACAGCTTTGTGCTTTGTCACTTCAGAGGCAGCAAAGAACCATCAAAGTCACCACTAAAGGCTGTGCCTTGAGACCAAATGCTCGATTATGTGGAGAGGGGCATTGACTAAGGAAGTACAATGTAGTGCCAAGGCAGGTAGAAGGCAGAGAGAAGCACTATCCCATTCTAAAGGGCCACCCACCAAAATGGGAGACCCTCCTATCGGTGGGAATTGCACTTCCTAACCCAGATCAAAGCATGCCCTCTTTTTAAAAGAATCTTTAATGTTCTTGCCTGAGAAGCATTAAAACTCTTGTGCAAATATCCCAATCTCTTCAACTAAAGCATCCTCCTGGATGACTTCAGGTAGTTGGGAGGGATCTACTATAATTTGGGTCAGACTTTGCTGTCCATAGGGAGGGAAATGTTGCATTGGTTTTCCAGCGCACCTTCACTGCTCCCTCATTCTCTTTCCCAGGTGTCCTCTGCCTCATTCAGTGCAAGTGGTGCACCAGCTGTGGCTGCCTGAAAACCCTCAAGTCTGATGAAGACCTACGGCAAGGTGGGAGTTCTATCAAAGTCATTTCAGAACGCACAGCAATGCCTCGCAGCATTGTCCGTGTGCAATCCACGAACATGAATTTAAAGGAAAACTTTACGAACAAACCACGCGTCGCAGACCGCCATGTATCCTGGGCAATATAATTTGACCATGTGTCTCTCAGTATGTGCTCATCTTTATGGAAGCAGCTGGGGGTGTGTGTGTGCGTGTGCGTGTGGGGGTGTGTGTGGGTGGGTGTGGGTGTGTGTGGGTGTGTGTGTGTGTGCGTGTGCGTGTGCGTGTGGGTGTGCGTGTGTGTGTGGGTGTGTGTGTGTGGGTGTGTGGGTGTGTGTGTCTGTGTGTGTGGGTGTGTGTGGGTGTGTGTGGGTGTGGGGGGGGGTGTGGGTGTGTGTGTGGTGTGTGTGTGTGTGTGTGTGTGTGTGGGTGGGTGTGTGGGTGTGTGTGTGTGTGTGGGTGTGTGTGTGTGTGTGTGTGTGTGTGTGTGGTGTGGGTGTGTGGGTGTGTGTGTGTGGGTGTGTCTCCAACCATTTTCACTGTGTTTTGCCTTATGTGAATGGCTATGAATGGTTGGGGTCCATGAAAAGATTCAGAAGATGATTATTTTTTTAAAATCCTGGCCTGTTAAAGATATGGTTTCTTCTATAACACTTGTTATGAATATAATAAATATTATACAAGTAATACTTGCTGCATTGTTAACTCAATATGTCACAGATTTATGATCTACAATGCTTATATTTTATAGTGTAATATTTTGAGTTACAAAGCAATATGATAAATACCTCTGTACGTGTCACTTCACTTCATGAAATTTTAAATTATGCACTTATTATTTCCATTCTTTCTCTTAGAAATTTAAAGGTGTTGTTGTAGGCATAACTGATATTCACCTAAACATTTAATCTTATCAATCTTCCTTTCTCCCATAATGAAACACTGTTAAGAATGCACTGCTGATCACTTTACTCTCCTATTATTTTTACTACACTATAAAGATTAGGTTGACTAACTTTTCAAATGTTCAAAGGCTACTAAGCATCATACCGTACCATTTTTTTTGCATTTTTCTTTTTTCCCCCAACTCTATGATTTTTGTATTTCATTCACTAAAACTACTGATAGGCAGATTATTATATCCATATAATGTAAATTGTTCATTCTCCCATTCATGAATATCTACTTGTTTCCTTTCACTTTGTTACAATGATGTTCTAAACATCCTTATGTATATTTCCTTTGCCAATGAACTTCAGTCTTTCCTGCATTTATCTAGAGGTGGAATTGCTTGATCAGAGAGTATATACATTTTGAAGTTGCCTCAATATTGACAAAATCACCTCAAAAATGGTTGCACTAATTTACAGTCTGGCAAGCAATAAACGAGAGTTATTTCTTTTTCTTTGCAAACACTTTTCAATGGTTTGACAGGTGGAATTACTGAGTTTCCACACCTCTTCATTCAGTTATTGGGCCTCTGGACTTCCTCTTCTGTGAACCACTATTTGGCCATTTTCCTAGTGGATTGGTTATCTATTTCTTATTGGTTTGTTGTTCTTCTTATGTACTGGAAACTAATATTAATTAATTATATTGTTTAAAAATATTTTCCCTAGCTATGCCTTGGCTTTTTAGCTTTGTTTATGATATCTTTTTTAATTGAGATATTCAAATTACATAGAATAAAATTTATCAACCTTCTTTTAATTGGTGCTTTATTGTTTCTTGTTTTTAATCCTCCTTTCCTCTTTGGGTAGGAATATAGATATGCCAGTCAACATTCTTCATGTATTGAAGGTTAGTGCAATACTAACCTTATTAACACAAATCAATTCTACATGTTAATAGGGTTCATTGTGATATTTTAACTACCTGCATATGGCATGCACTGGTCAAATCCACCTGCATTTATCCAAACTCCCCTCCCTTTCCCAGGCTTCAATAATCACTATTCTGCATTCAGGTAGACATTTTTTTTAACTTCAACATATAACCCAGAACATGTGATACTTATCTTTCTGTGCCTGACTTATTTCATGTGATTTGTCTTTAAGCTTTTAAGATATTCTTGAAGGTACTGCCTCTCAAGATTATCATACACCTTTCAACATTAAAAGTCTTTTCATCATTTTATGCCCACTGTGGTTATGTTCAAGGACATAACCATAGAAAAACAAACCATTTCTTAGATTGGGTGGGATAAATTTGATCATTGAGTAAAACACATTTCCACATTGTGCCAAGAGCACTGCCTTCAAGAAAGTAAATTCTGGGGCTGCAGGCATGGGTCAAGCATCGAGTGCCTTCCTCTATGCTGTGTTCTATGGCTCAACAGGGTAAAGGTACCTAACAATAGCATTGTCTATTTCAAAATAATTGAAAGAGAGGAATCTGAATTCACTTACCACAAAGAAATAATAAAAGTTGATTCTAATTACCCTGAGTTAATCATTACACATTGTAAACATGAATCAAAACTTCACCTTACACCTCATAAATACGTACAAATACAATGGTGTTGTCCAATCAAAACACAGCTCTGGCCTCAAAGGAAACAAGAGGGTTGGTGTTGGCCAGAGGTCTGTTACCCCTTGTGCTACATTCCAAGAGTTTTACCAAGTAGTCACAAGAAGTTAAGTCAGACACAGAGGTTGAAAGTAAATGGTTGTTAAAAAGACTACAAAAAGCCCAAGATAATTTTGGGTCTTGACCTGCAACATTCCATCTCTCCGTAAGTACAGTGTAGAGAAGAAGTCTGCTGAGTACACCTTTAATCTTTAAAGGGATCTTTAATATAGAAGCAGCCTCTTCAGAGAACTTTGGTTCACCTGTTATTTATTTTATCTATTATTTACCAATAACAATAATAATAATAATAAAACAAAAATCAACAAAAAATTGCCCCCACAAATCTTAAAATCTAGGTAAGAAAGACACAAAATTAAGTAAATAAGTAAAGTAATGCTATGATCATGATTACAATAAGGCTCAGAGTTAAGACATTTTTTTCCTGAACAAATTTTCATTTGAAAAGTAGGCTGTGGCATTTTTGGTTCCTGTGGTTGCCTCTTTATTTCTATTGACCACTCATTTATCCCACAATTCAAATTATCCTTATTTTGATAAAAGGGCTTTTGTCTTCATCTTCTCTATTCTAGATAAGGAAATATTGGTTTCTTAGAATTATTTGACATTTCTAGGTAGTTGGTAAGGAAACTCCTCTACAAATGCACAGTGGTTTCCCTCTATCTAAAAATAATTTTCAGATATAAATAGAGCAGAATAACTTGACTTGTTGAATTTTGTGGCACACCTCTTTTTACATCCTTGAGCCCCACTTTCCACATTTATAAAAAAAATAATATTTATCAACTCCACATCTCCACATTCCTTCTGAGGCTAAGTATTTTCTTTATTTTCTATAAGGGCAGGCATCCTATCGATATAATCTCCCATTCTTGAGCACATTAACAAGTAAATCAGAATTAGGGGCTCTTGAAGGGATGGCTCAATCAGTAGAGTGCCTGTTTTGCAAAACATGAAGCCCTGAGTTGAAACCTAGTCCCCTCCCAAAACAAATGAACTGGATTTAAAATTGGGGGTTCTTTCCCCAAGCTATGGGTTACAGCAATGATAAGCTCTTTAGCCTGTATTCTAGAGTATGAAATACAGACCTCTATCATGACCTGTACTCTTTTAGAATGTTTTTTTTTCTAGTTGTTTATTGAAAACTACTTCATTCTTTTTTCTTTGCTTTTGTGGAACTCAGGTCCTAGTACTTGGTAAACAGTCTATCACTTGAGCCGTATCCCCTAGCCTTTTTTTTGCATTAGTTCTTTTTCAGGTATGGTCTTGTATGTTTGCCCAGACGACAATCCTCCTACCTGTAGCCTCCTTTGAAGCTGGGATCACAGGTATCCTTCACCACACCTAGCTTATTGATTAAGATGCAGTCTTGGTAACTTTTTTGCCTGAGCTGATCTTAAACCACAATTCTCCCATTCTCTGCCTCCAAATTGCTGAGATCACAGGTGTGAGCCACTTCAGAAAAGTATCATTTAAGAGATTCAAACATCAAAATACTGAAAAAATCAGATCTTTCAAAGTTTACAGGTGGAAGAGTAACAGGAAGAGGAAAGTCTAGGATAAAAGAGACATTTAGGCTAAACGGGGTAGTGCACACCTTGTCAGATTAATTGCTTTAAGACATTCAATGTCCTACACTTTCTTTCTTTCCTATATAGCCTTTTATGGCCCTGGTAGGAGCTTGGTTGCCCCTTGATACTGTCAACATTGGACAACTTGTAATCTTTAAAAGCATTATGCTGTTTCTTAGCAACAAAAATCTGGGATGTTTGAAAACAAATGAAGTTTCTGTTTGCCACAGTTGTCACTGGGATTTTATAATAGTGGGGGAAATGGTATTGAGAGCTTCCTATTTTCATATACTAGGAATTAAGTATACTTCACTGAGAAGAGCTAAATGTGTAGTACGGCTCTCCCTGTGGGTCTCTTAACCTCATGACAGTAAGAAAACAATACTAGCCTTTTCTAGATGATGTCAGGATCCTTGTGACTGCATCATGTCCAGGAGTAAAAACTCTGGATTATAACAATTAATGTGTATTAATTTAGTGGTCACCCTGCCAAATTAAGGCTTTTTGCTACATTTTCTCATTATTATTTTTGTGAATTTTTTGAGTATTGTAAAAAATTGTACATTTCAAGATTCAAAATGAGTCTGGAAATTCTGTATAATAAACAAAGCGCAACAGGTTTTGTTTTTGTTTGGCAGTACTGGGGTTTGAACTCAGGGCCTACACCTTGAGCCATTCCACCAACCTTTTTTTTTTAAATGGGTTTTTCCAAGATAGGGTCTCATGAACTATTTGTCCAGGTCTGACTTCAAACCATGATCCTCCTGATCTCTGCCTCCTGACTAGCTAGGATTGTAGAAGTGAACCATTGGCACCCAGCTCATAACAGTTTTTATTTGGACACTTATAACTTAGTGATCCTTTTTTTAATTTTTTTTTGCAGTACCAGGGCTTGAACTCGGGACCTACACCTTGAGCCACTCCACCAGCCCTTTTTTGTGAAGGCTTTTTTTCCAGATAGGGTCTCACAG